TATTTTTTAATTTATTTTTAACCTTAAAAAGATTTTAAATGGTAAAATTTGAAAAATTTCAAACTTTTACTTTTTATAAATTTACTTTTTACTACCAATGACCTGTTGGTTCGAGTAGAGGGAATTTGATTTCCCTTGAATAAAATTTTGAATTTAAATCTTATGAATAAAAAAACAGGCGTTGAGAGAGTTCTCCCAATGAGATCCGACGGAATTCGATTTCAGATTAGTTAGAATCCAATGTGGTTATCAAATACTGAAAGGTTAATACAAAAAAAAACTTCATTTTTACTAATTTCTTACCACCTTTTTTTATTTTTAAAAGTAATTTTTAAATTTTCCTCTAGTAAAAATTTAAATTTATCAATTATAAACAGTACAAAATAAATAAAAGTTTCAAGAAATTCCACCAAACAAGTTCTAAATACATATTACATTTTACTTAATCAATAATATAAGAGATGAGTTTTTTGATATTAGAGATCCACTCCTATCAATGGTTAATTGTTTTATAGTTTACATAAAATAAATTACAAAACAAATTTCTAATAGAAAAAAGAATGAAAGAAAGAGAGAAGTAAGATAGATTTGAATCAATTAGGACTATAAATAAGATAAACTTTAATCCAATTATTTAAATTTAAATTTATTTTGAGTTCATATAGATCCATGTAATTGAATTTAAATAGAGTTTAAGTTAAGGTTGAATTGGAGAGTAAAGTTTTATTTAGTTTGAGTGTGACTAAATTCGAACTTGATACTAACTTAGCCTGAGGTTCAACTTGAATGCAACCCTAGGTGTGACAGGGCACCATGTTAAGTTCTTGTAGAGCAGTGCAAAGTTCTCCAACTTGCTTCTGAAGGTATGACAGGCACCATCTACATTACACCCCTAGTTTCTTTTTATTGTTTATTTTTGAACATGATTACAGTTGGAGAGTAGATAAGAAGATAATCGTGAGCCTTAAAACTGTAATTTATGGATGTGATACCACTAATTTAAGATTAATGTCATTGGATTAAAATGTGTCGATCTTAGGTTTTTTTTACTTTGTTAACAACTATGAAAGAAAAAATAATTTTATTTAATTAAAATTTTTACTTGTTTGATTTTTTTTTTCTTAGGGTGATAATTATTTTTTTATTTTTTGAAAACAATTTTTTTTCCTAAAATTGGATTTTTTTTTCAATGACTCATGCAGATAAAAGGAAAATATCCAAGTCTATCACGTGTACCTCACGTGACCAGCCCACCCAAGCCAAGCGCAAGCACCACGCACACCCACGCAGCCAATCATCCTTCTTTGCTGACGACCACATCATCCACCGTCAAATTCTATCAAAACTAAATCTCGACCGTCCAGCCCACTTGCTCTGGACTTCTTATTTCCGAAGCACACGTGAAAACAAAAATTTTCTTCTTCTCTCCCTCTTTCTCCTGGCCGCCTGAAACCCTCCTTTATTTTACCTCACTCTCCGAACCGCAAATCCCAAAACCCAGCATTTCCCACTCTTAATTAGGAAACCCAGAATCGAAAGTTTGAAAATTTTTGGTTTATTTTTGTATATTTATTGAGGGGGAAGGAGGGATGGATTCAGATCAGGGAAAGCTTTTCATTGGAGGGATTTCGTGGGACACCGACGAAGATAGGCTCAAGGAGTACTTTGGTCACTATGGTGAAGTTTTGCGGACTGTTGTTATGAGAGATAAGATTACTGGGAGACCTAGAGGATTTGGGTTCGTTGTCTTCTCAGATCCTGCGGTTCTTGACACGGTGCTCCAGGATAAGCACACCATCGATGGTAGAACGGTGAGATATGGAGAAAACGTTGAGAAGATGGTCTATTGTTTCAATGGGTTTTTGTTTTTGTTGCCCTTAATTTTGTTGTGTCTTGGTGGGTGGGGTTTTCGTTTAGTTTGCAGTGTTTAATGATTGCTGGAATTTTGGGTATCTCTTATTGTAATGTTTTCTTTATGTATATTGATGGTTGTATGTCCTTTATGGTTTCTTGGGTTTCTATCATCAATTTATAATTAGGGTTTGTGATGTTACCATGTTGTCTTTCTGGTTTCTTTTGTGCTTTTTCAGTTCACGAATTTGACGATTTATGAATTATTTGCTATGTTTATTGATTTACTTATTTCATCAGGCGTGTTATGGTTCTTTACTGGAAACTTTTGTAGTCAAGCTTGCACCAGATAACAATGTTTTACACTTACATCATGTGAATTAACTCTCGCTTTGAAGTTAAATTCTTGTGTGAATGTTACTCGTTTTCAGGTTGAGGCCAAGAGGGCATTGTCCAGGGAGGAGCAGCAAACTTCTGCTAGGTCTGGAAATGTTAATATGGGTAGAAATTCTGGAAGTAGTGGTGCTATCAGGACCAAGAAAATATTTGTTGGAGGGTTGCCACCCAATTTAACTGAAGACGGGTTTCGCCAATATTTTGAAACTTATGGTCATGTGACTGATGTAGTGATCATGTATGATCAGAATACCCAAAGACCTAGGGGATTTGGGTTCATTTCTTTTGACACAGAAGATGCAGTGGACAGGGTTTTGCACAAGACTTTTCATGATTTGAATGGGAAGCAAGTTGAAGTGAAGCGAGCTCTTCCTAAAGATGCCAGTTCCAGTGGCATTAGCCGTACTGGCAGTGGTGGTGGAGATTATCAGGGCTATGGCGCTTCTGGTGGCAATGCTAGTTCTTATGACAGTCGTATGGACTCCAAAATGTACATGCAGCCTCAGAGTGCTGCTGGTGGTTTTCCTCCTTATGGCTCATCTGGGTATGGCACACCTGGATATGGGTATGGTCCTGCTAGTAATGGTGTTGGTTATGGTGGATATGGAAGTTATGCTGGTGCAGGTGCTGCTTATGGTGGTCCTGCAGGTGCAGCCTATGGGAATCCCAATGCTGGTTATGCTGGTGGTCCACCAGGTGCCCCTAGAAGTTCATGGGGTGCACAGGCCCCCTCTGGTTATGGTACCATGGGATATGCCAATGCTGGTCCTTGGGGTGCTGGTAGTGGTGCTGTTTCAGCACCTACTGGTCAATCTCCTGCTGGAGCAGCTGGGTACGGGAGTCAAGGTTATGGGTATGGTGGGTATGGTGGAAACGATGGGTCTTATGGCAATCCAGCTGGATATGGAACTGTTGGAGGACGCTCTGGAGGTACCCCAAATAGCAATGCTGGATCAGGTGGGGGAGAACTACAAGGAAATGGTGGTGGTTACATGGGAAGTGGTTACAGTGATGGAAATGGAAATGGTTATGGAAATTCTTCATGGAGGTCTGATCCATCGCAAACTTCAGGAAACTATGGAGCTCCTCAGGCAAATGGTCCCCATGGTGGACAAGTTGGTTATGGTGGTGGATATGGTGGTACTCAAAGCCGACAAGCCCAACAACAGTGATTCAACCACTTAAGTCCCTACTGGATCTTCATTTCTCTCTCGTGGATAACCTTCTCTTTACTCGTGATCATGAATGTTTCTTATTTCCAGAAGCAAGCAGAGAGGTTTCGGTTGACTGCCAGATCACTTTGGGACCGGTTTGAATCCCAGTAGTTTGCAGTATCTATTTTGCTAGTCGTAATAAGTAGTTTCAAGGCATGCAAGATGCCCTTACTTAATTTTCCTACTGAGTGTAGTTTAAATTTGGTTTGCTTTATATTTGTCTACTTGCTGCCCTGGTACTTTTCCTATCTATCGTAGCGTTTAAGCCCTATTACTTCATATGTCTTTGTCTTAGCCTCTTGCTATTTCAGTATTTTGTGGTTAATTAGTTCATCAAGGAAATCATTGGTAGATAGTTATGCTTGATGTCTTGAATTGATATGAAAAGTAGGGTATGGGGATGTACTGACGATTTTAACTGATAGCAGTGAAGCTATGGACCACTTGGGTTGATCACTTCATAATGGTAGCGATAAACGTAGTGGTAGTGACACATGAGGATGATATAATCATTTTCCCCCTGTATTTGCCCTTGTGTTGTACAGGAGGAGAGATGCTTGAGTTCTAAGGTGGGGTCAAGTTTCCACTCATGGCTGAACCCGAGCTTCATTGTGTGGGTTGTTCCATTTGGTGTTATGTTCAGCAAGGAATGCAACTGAAGAGGACATGCGTGGTTGGGAGTTATGAACTAACCTGAGAGATCATTTTCCACTTGGGTGTCACCACTGCTACCAAATTTGCAATTCTTGGCTTTTCAAGACCTTTCCTGTCATTCATCCAGGTTGTGAGGATTTAGTCAATACAATTGAATCTGTGAAATCAACATCCTGGGGTATGTTGACTTAAAACTGTTCAATGTCAGACGGAGATTTCTTTTTGTTACCATCTCTTTAGGCTGCCATTTTTTCATTGAAGTAGATCATATCAGGAATATAGTCCTTGGAGATTCTGGATGGTTGGAGTCATACTGTTAGATAAATATTCCCATGAAGCTTCTCACGTTTGTGCCTTCTCTAGATATTGATAGTCCTTGTTTTCACTCTCATACTTTTTTCCACATTATTCATTACCAATAGTTTTCTTTTGCTTTTTTCTTAGCTGATTGTCTGGTAGCGTGGAAGCAGAATTTTTAGCGTTTTAGTGCTCTCCCTAGATTCTACATTAGGGCCTGTTTGTTTGCCTTTGCAAATTTTACTCGGCAAAGGAACTTTACCAGGAAACATTTTGACTGGGTATTTATACCTAGGAAAGTAACTTTTCTCTGTTTGGTGGCTTGCAAAAATTTGTCTAGTATCCTTAAAATCCTTGGTTATTTGAATATAGTACTGTGGAATGTTTAAGTAAAAATTGTCATATAATCGATTATATAACTATATAACTGAGGAGATAATTGATTATAATCTTTAATATTTAATTAGTTAGTGATTGTGAATTATAATTACTTATAACATTCATTTGGTATATTTGGTAAGTACTTAGAAAATTAAGTTATTTTTTCATTGGTGATGGGTATTATAGTTGATTATTATAAATACTGAATGGTTAATTATCAATAACAAAATAAGCCATTATAACAAAAAGATAATTGATTATCTAACTTTCTTAGGATTATTGCAGCTCCATTTTTGTCATTTCAAGTCCTTTTTACAAAGGATTCAAAGGGCAGTCTAGGTATTTTATTGCCCCTTACCCAACTACTTACTTGGGTAGTATTTTTATTTATTTATTTTGGGGGGAGGAAGGTGTGGTTTGTTCATCCAGAAAGTGTTTTCGGGACAAAGGTGGAGAAAGTTTCAGGGATAAAATGACTTCAAAACTAATTGGATGCCAAATACAAGCACTATAATCTGACTTGCAACAGCACAATCCCGGGAATCTTACGCAACCAAACAGGTCCTAAACGTCTGAAATCTCCGCATCCTGTATTGTTTCTTGCTTGCAAAATTTATTCTTGGGAATCAATAAATTCCATGGAGGATATCAGAGAATTATGCTTTTGTAGGTCTTTGCCAGTTTTGCCTCAGTGTGTTTATCATCCTTGTAGTTGTAACTCTCAGGGTAAAACACAGACTGAAGTCCGACCTATCCGATATAAGATGTTAATAGGCATTCCAAACTATTAATGACTCTGTATATTGCATGTTCTGAGTGCTGAGGTAAAATCTTTTAAGTACTGGAATCAAGAGGATAAACACACCAATCAATTTCTGACTCAAAGAATTGGTTTTCATAATCCTTAACAACTGCAAAGTCTACAGTCACTGAGTACCATAATCCTGAGTTTATTATCTTATTCAATTCAGATAAAACGCAAAGAGCCAATAACATTCTTCAGTTCCCCTAACAAGAAATGGGATAAGATAAGTAAATGGATTCAGGGAAAGAATCAATAGGCCGAAGGGGAACCTTGGTATGGATTGCCAAGTGCAGCCGCATTTCCTGGGCGTGAAAATACAACCTGCAAATGTGAGAGGAAGTCAGTACAGCAACATCTCTAGGGATGTTTACATGCAGAAAGCAATCCACGTTGAGGATTCTGTCTAGCATTGTGATTTGAGTTAAAACAAAAAAATCAGAGTCAACTGGATACCCGAACCACTAAATATACTAGGAAGTTCATTTCTACTCTGTGTATCTTGTTTGAATTCACGTATGTGATTATGTTTTGAAGATGGTATTCGTTGTCGCTGTGCAGTAACTAGAGTAGCTTCATGTAGTCCTGAATTGGATTATAAATGCTATTGGTGTATCAACATATTCTTAAAGCTAATGAAAATACCTTTTCCTACTCTAGAAACCATTTACAGATTTCAAAAACAGTAAACAGAAAGTAGAGATAGAGCAAAGCAGAAAATATGGAAGTAAGCAGATACATAGAATTACCTGGTAATCTCCAAGCGTCCTTGTCTTAAAACCAGCTGCACAGTAATCAAAATAGTATTCCCATGTCCGTATGAACTTGTCATCAAATCCCAATGCATTAATTTCGCTAAGAACACGGATTAATGTCCAAGTATCAAAATATGAAACAACATTACACTCTTAGTGATTAAGCACAATGCAAGAATGATTATAGAGAAAGCATAAATGTGTTTTACAGTTTGGACTACATAACTTAGATCATTGAATAAGTGGTGGATTCCTGAACAATTTGGTATGGTTCAAACTGCAATAGCACAAACTTAAAAGAGAACATCTTAAAATGTATATACATGCTACATGTGTCATTGCTCAAGGAAAAGATTATTTAGGCAATACCAAAATTTTACTTAGAGATCTTAAGTC